GACTGAGCCACCCAGGAGCCCCAGTAGCCCAACATTTCTATAATTACCAACCAGTATGGTTTTCCTGGAATGACTGTGGGGAGATATGCTTTCTTTTTATTTTATTCTTTAAATTTTTTTATTTTTTAAAATTTACATCCAAATTAGTTAGCATACAGTACAACAATGATTTTGGTAGATTCCTTAGTGTCCCTTACCCATTTAGCTCATCCCCCTTCCCACAACCCCTCCAGTAACCCTCAGTTTGTTCCCCGTATTTATGAGTCTCTTCTGTTTTGTCCCCCTCCCTGTTTTTATATTCTTTTTGTTTCCCTTCCCTTATGTTCATCTGTTTTGTCTCTTAAAGTCCTCATATGAATGAAGTAATATAATTTTTGCTTTCTCTGGCTAATTTCACTTAGCATAATACCCTCCGGTTCCATCCACATAGTTGCAAATGGCAAGATTTCATTCTTTTTGACTGCCGAATAATACTCCATTGTGTGTATATGTATATGTACATATGTACACATCTTCTTTATCCATTCATCCATCAGTGGACATTTGGGCTCTTTCCATACTTTGGCTATTGTTGATAGTGCTGCTATAAACACAGGGGTACATGTGTCCCTTTGAAACAGCACACTTGTATCCCGTGGATAAATGCCTAGTAGTGCAATTGCTGGGTCACAGGGTAGTTCTATTTTTAGTTTTTTGAGGAGCCTCCATACAGTTTTCCAGAGTGGCTGCACCAGCTTGCATTCCCAGGGAGATATGCTTTCTAAAAGCATCTTTGGGCTTCTTAATTTTTAGACATATGTTAACATCTGTGGCTGGTCCTTATCTTGATTTCTTGGCAACGTTTGATATGGCTAACCTTTTTTTTGGGAAATTCTTCTCTGGACTTCCATTACTGGAGGGTCTGTCTTATTTCCCTCTTATCCCCCAAGCCACTCCTTGTTGTTCTCCTCTGCTGGCTCTCCTTTCTCTGGTGACCCCTTAAATGCTTTTCTTCAGGGTTTTGTCTTAGGGCCTTCTCTCTTTTTATTTATACATTTCTTTCAGTAATCTGATCTCTTCTGATAGCTTTGTTAGAGCTTCTACAATGCTGATTTGTTATACCACTGTTTATACCACTGTTCATTTCCCCCATTGTTTTCCTATTTAAGAGACTTACGCATCCTTTCAAGTATGAACATCACAGTAATATGTTCTTCAAAGTCTGGTCGGCTAGTGGAGGAAGGGCAGGTTATGTTATACTTATGGGTAGGGGACCCTAGTGGGCCATACTGCATAGCACATTCCTGGCTTTGCTTTTTATTTTCCTCAAATTAGACGGTGCTTGCCAATCTGTTAACTCCATAGTCTCTCCTTTGGCAGCACGTACTGTTCTGATAAACAGAGTGCGTGTAATAGCATAAGACGCAGAGCAAATGTGCTAAGAAAAATGATCACCCTGGATGTTAAACTGTTAATTTTATAGCTGCCTGAGGTAGGGAAGCATACCACGGAAACAGGTAGTAAAGATTAAAAGTAAAATAGGTAATGGAGGAAGTGTTTTGGAGTTATGAGGGGTATCATAAAACAATGTAGTCTGGGAGGAAATGACTGATAATTACTGAATGAATAAAAAAAATTTTAAAAACCCAAATGAACAACATGGGATGATTGGTCTTTCTTACCTTAAAAGAAATATTAATGCTTCCAATAAAAACACGTGATACTTTCACACTGATTAGCTGCAGTGTGAGTATGCAGTTTTTGTCGAGTGTAATATTCTGTAACATATTGAACAGTCCATGATGAAAATGAATGCTTTAAATTTGCACCTATTGCATCTATCCAATTGTGGCATTGCTTTAAATTTGAGGAGATTATGGCTGTATTTATATTGGCAAAGTAAATACCTTCTAAGGGAAGTTTTAATGTCCAAATTTATTGGTCTAAATCATCTAGATTAGTTCTCTGTCTTCAAAGTAAATATATTTCAATGCAAAGATATATTGTAGGTGTAAGAGTCAGCCACACAACGGAAAAGAGAGTATGTGAACTGGTCATGGCTTCCAGACCTGTTAAATGATAGAAGACAATAGCTCCCTTCTGGCATTACATGTGGTCATTAGTCTTCAGTAAATGAGATCTAAAATGTGATGGATGTGTCACTCTACCTGTAAACAACAGAAGATGCAGATAGGAAACTCATTCTGACCAATGTAATGGATCAGAGCCAGGAAACAGAGTGATGGCTCTTCAGATGGGCCAAGGTGAACACAGATGAATTAGGGGTATCAGCAAGGAATGGAGACAGGCTGAAATGGAGGGGGGTGGCGGTGAACAGGCTTTACACTCTGTATTTCTTCCTAGATCTTGCAAAGCAAGTATATTTTTCTTTAAACGTATGCTTTCGTGGGGAATCTACAAACAAAATGTTCTTTATTCAGTTTCATGACTCCATGCAGGTTCACTTCAACGAGTTTTCAAACTATCAGACTTGATTAAGAAAGAAAAACATCCTTCTAAGCCTGCAAAGCAGAAACCCAGGACTTAGTGTGAAAGAAAAAACAACTTCAACTTAAAGAACTGCCCAGGGCTTACGGTTTCTTAAACAATGTGTTCCTAGGATAATTATTTGACACAATAAATGACCCACTGCCAAGAGAAGATCTAACTAATCTCTTCTCAAAGTTATGAATGTTTGTAAATCAAATTAGCAGGAATGGTCTCTAAGCATTTTGCCTGCCTGACCTTAAAATAACATCACAAAGCTAAACAGTTTTAAGGAGTAAATTGTTTCCTAAATCACATAAACCCCCATTTTTCTCTAAGTGCACATAATAGGATGGAAATCCCTCTGAAAAGAGGTGGGGCTGTAAGTGGGCCATTGAGTAGATTTCCATTACATGTCCATCCCCTTTTCAATTCACCCTTTCCCTATGAGGTCCCAGACATACTAGGAAGTGCCTCAACAATGACGATTCAATAACTCACGGTAACAATTACAAACTACAGAGCAGTGACCTTGAACTGCGGTTTTCTAACAGGAAATTTGTTAGAAATGCAAATTGCCAGGCACCTTTCCCCACCCCTGCCCCCAGACTTAATAAATCAGAGCCCTGGCAGTAGAGCCCAGCAATCTGTTTGAACAAGCCTCTGAGGGAACTCTGATGCATTTTAAAGTTTGAGAACCTCTGCTGTAGACTAATTAAAACAAGAATTCAAGAGTCTTTATGTTTTCTCAAAGGTGATGAGTGTTATACAAAATAATTATAAAAGTTTTAGGGATACGATTACAGTTAGTAATTATAACCTATTCTATTTCTTCTGCAATACCTGTGCTCATAGCAGATTTTAGTAGATAATTTTATTAGTTTATGTAGTTAGATCTTGTTTAGCTTTGAATTAAACCAGCCTCAAATGAGGCCAACAATGTGGTCAGATCATAAGATGTCAGAGATTGAAACTTAGGGTTCTCTTGGGCCAGCTGAGGCAACTGACCAGAGAAGTTACATATCCTTAGGGAACCGTGTGCTTCTGTTGTATAATCATATATAACAGTTACAAGTAATAAACAAGCACGCAATAATTTAATTTACTTAGGAATGAAAAATGTTAATATTACCAATCTAAGCAAAATATAACTAGCAAAAATAATATACTGATTGGCAGAGGGAATTGCATTTGATTCTAGGGCAAAATATTTTGATTTTGCCACCATGCATACCTTCCTCTCTTATGAGGTCTTGCAGTAACTCTAATCATTTTCAAATTAACACTTTTTATGTCTCCTGATGCTACTGAGCAGAGGAGTGAAATCTGCAAACATATCCCTGCACAACTCCCAAGAGAGAAAAGTTTCTTTTCTTTCTTGGAAAACAAACAAACAAACCCTTCTTGGGGCACCTGGGTGGCTCAGTCGGTTAAGCCTCTGACTTCCGCTCAGGTCATGAACTCAGGGCTCGTGAGTTAGAGCCCTGCGTTGGGCTTTGTGCTGACAGCTCAGAGTCTGGAGCTTGCTTCTGATTCTGTGTCTCCCTCTCTCTCAGCTCCTCCTCTGCTCGTGCTCTATCTCTCTCAAAAATAAACATTAAAAAAATATTAAAAAAGAAAAAACTTCTCATGCTTTAAGGAGTGAGCATACTGAGTAGCAAGGACTATTTTAAGAGAGGCTGGGATCTCATTCTCCACAAGCACAGGACAGCCCCTGTTACATCAGCAAACTGGTTCCTCAAAGCTGCCCAGGGCTTCAGGGAACTCCTCATAAATATGATAATAGTTTCACTTAAATAACAATCACGTTCTGAGTGAAGATAACTGTTGGAAACACCAGCTGTGATATCCCATACTGACATTTTAAATGAAGCTGAATACTGTTGGTAGTTAATGCATTGTCAGGTGTGTCAAAGATGAGCCACTATATTCCTGCTAGAGAGTGTAAAATTTAATCAAACAGAATATATGGCAAATACATTCTGTTTTGAGGAAAATATTTCTAAAAAGTTGCATGGGACTGGCTCGGGCATCAAAATTAAAAACAAATTTAGTCCCTACCACAATTTTTTTTTAACTCTTAAAAAAAGTATTCGTATCAAATAAATGGATGCCAACAACTGAAGGAAAGCAAGAAAGTAAACAAAACGATTTCCCCAGACTGGAAATAACAGTCTGCTTATCATAATGAAAAATTATAATAAAATCCTAATTTATTCAGATTCATCAAGCAAATTGTTCTTCATAAATGGTAGTAGCATCATATGATATTTTCGTTACCAGTCGATAGAATAGCCCTCAACAACTAAAGCAAATACTGTGTCAGAGAAGCCTAACAGATAAGCAGGCCAATTGGTGGTATAAAGTCACAGTGGTTGAGATAAGTGTCCCAAGAGGAAGCAGGATTTCTTTTTTTAATGTAAAAGCTGAAAGTAATTTTTCCTCATTTTCAAAGTAAGATGCTGAGTTTTCTCTTGCCAAAAGGATATCATTTTACATTTCATTTATGCAGCACTCTTTATTCAAATGAATCAAAGTGATTCAATACATCAATATTAAACAGAACAGTCCTGCTTGTCATTTTCTCTCAACCCTTTAAAAAACTGCTTAGTTTAGGATATGTATTTTTGGTTGGAATTAATAAAAGAGGAAAGAGGGGAAAGACCGAAAGCAGACACCATATTATTTTCACGATCAATCTGCATTTTATTATTTGTCATACAGGCTCATTAGGAATGAGCAGCATATGGTTGAGGCCAGGGCTTTTGTGGTAAAATCAAGCATATCCGATGTGCCTCTTCACACTAAGTAAGCACTCTCTAGTGTGTGCTCTCTCTCTGGCTGACAAACCAAAGAAATCTGAGATCCTGTAAGAGCTGACCTGATCTAAGCCTGGGATTAAACACTAATAAAAACGCTGGCTAAAGCTACATCACATAGAAAGCTAAGTGCTGATGATTTAACAGGTTGTATTCACCACTGCATCCACTGTGAGTTATTCATAAATTACAGCATCTAATGTTACTACTGGAAAAATTTAATAAATTGGAATCCTAAGGCCTTCATGTGGACAGCAGTTTTTTTCAAGCTTTTAAAATAAAAACAAGGTAAAATTAAATAAATGAATTAGTGGAAAGGGTCTATTCTAAATGAACTCCTTAATGAATGTTTATAAAATGAATACAAAATATGGAGCTGATCTATGATTATAGCAAAGGCAGCAAAAAGCATGAAGTATTCCCTTACGTGCATTATGTTCGTAATGGCGAAAGGCATGCCTAAAGTTCGCTATACGTTATTAAAACTCTATTCTAATATTTCCTGAGCTCAGTAAGTTTCTGAGCCCAATAATCATTAACAACAACAACGACAAAAACAGGTCATACCTCTGCAAACTGAAACAAGGCTGAGGCTTGACACTGCTTTGAAGAAGCATCAGGGTGAGACGTACTTGAAGATATCTGAAAGGAAACAAGTAATCTTTAACGCACAAGGACATTTTCCCATATCAGACTAATAGATTCAGCCATGTATTTCCACTGTACACACTGATAAAGATTAAGACATGAATCATCACCCTTAATGCCTTTTAGAAGAACAGTATAAATGATAAAGGAAGACAAAGGCCATGTGTCTAGATGATTGGAAGAACAAAAGACCACGACTGGCTCATTTGCCATGTCTCTTGTAGGGTATCAGGTATGTTGCAAACAGCAGTTGAGGAGTGTTGAGATGAACTGCTTTATTTCAATATATTTGTTAAAATATTATTAAAAGCTGGAAGCTGCAGGAAAGTCAGTCACTCTCTTTCCTACACCACTCCCCTCAAGCTGTTCTCTGCTTAGAGGCAGCTGGGAAACAGTGTTTGAGAAGCATATGGATGTGGCTCAGGGTATCTGGGACTGAATCTTAGCTTGCTGCTCGCTAGCTACATGACCTTGGGCAGTTCAGCTAATCCTTCTAAGACTTATTTTTCCCAACTGTAAACTGACAATGATGATGAAGAGAATAATCCCCATTTTACAGGATTACAGTGAAAAGAAAACAAGCTACAGAATACACTGCCTGGCATAGTACCAGCACCCAATAAATTATTCACTGAAGAGGAACAGCATTTCTTTTGTAACACCATCCATGTGCATGCGTGCGCACATGCACGCACTCACACATACACACACACACCTCTCTTTCTCCCTCTTCCTCTCACTCTACAGGCATCGGACAGTGGATGGAGGACTCTGCCATACTATACTTGATTCAACTAGGAGACCTTTCTTTTCCACTTAGTATATGGTAGCCTTATTAAGTTTGCTCTGATGGCCCTTGGAAGTACTTCTCAAAGATCTTTTGAGAACAATGTCAGTTACTAATTTTGGTTCCAAAGTGAACAATACTTCCATCCAGCTACAAAATAGGGTGAAAGTGACTCACAAGAGCAAAAAGCTTAGGCATTATGAATTCAGCCCATTCCCAGTCCCATAAAAGTATTGTTCTTCAATTAACTGTGCTCATGAACTCCATCAAAGGGTACTTACTAAGCAATAAAATGCACCTTAATTATAATCCTTCAACCAGAGAAGTCAATTTTTTTCATCTTAATTAAATTAAGTTGGTTAGAAAAACCATGGAGGCAGTTGGTGATACAGTATCAAAGTAATGTTTAGGGATGAGAAAGAATTAGTAAAGTGACTGATGGAATTATTGACTTTATTCACTGCTGAGGCCATTAAGAAAATTTTAATGCCACTATAATCAGACATAGAAGCATCTTTAGAATAAACATCAGTAAAAAGAAAAAAAGATCCAGATCCTATTTAATAAAGTAGATATAAAACCATCATTGTGAGTGAATAAAATTTAACCAAGTGTTTTAAAGACATTTGAAGGAAAAATTGTATGCTTCTTGGTCAAATCATGAAATGTTATCATTTCAAACGAACAACATGTACAAGTGTGACAGACTGCATGTATGAGTCCACAAGGACTTTCCTGAAGTCCTGGGAATTATGAATTGAGTAGGTCTAACTTCAGAGAGCACTTTTCATTCCTATCAACCCTCTATAAAAGTTAAAGAAAATAGTCAGTTTATGTAAGGGAAATTGCCTAGCCTATATTTCTTTCAAAATTAAATAAGACAATGAAGGAAATGTAGAAACCACTGACATCAACCCCTTAGATTTTTGAAAGGCATTTCACAAGTTTCTAAACAAGGGAATTTCTTTATAAATTATTATTGGGATAGAGACACTCAGGCAATGACATGAATAGGGAGTTCCTGAAGAAATATCAGATCAGGAATAGGGACCCTTTCTATAAATCAACAGAGTCAGGGATCTCTTAGGTATGCTATAGAGCCCACAAAAATGTGCATATGTCAATACAAAATTTCATGTGAAATTTTAGGGTTTTCATTAGATCTTTAGATTCAGGGATCACTGGCCATGCATCTATGCTTTCAAAATTGGGACCAACATTATTTAACATGTCTATAACTACATAACTACTGTTTAAAAGTTGAGTGCAGAGTGAATCCTCTGTAACCTTAAATTCTTGAGGAAATAATATATAAAACAATTGGAATTCACACAGCGTATCTCAAACATATAGAAAGGAAAGTGATAGGTAAGGAATATCATGTGAGCAAATATGTACAATAACATTCTGGTGTATTAGCAAGGCATTTATGTATATTATGAACAATGTCTCAAAAGGAATGGCCTCTGCCTTTGTGAATTGTAGTTTTGCCAAGGAAATGTTGAGATCCACCAGGAAAAGGCACTAGAGAAGAAAAGAATCTGAAACTAAAAATATGTTCTCTTTGGACAACACCTAACACAATGGCATATATTAGGAAGGATGACAGTGCAAGAGAAGGTCTAGTAAAAGACAATTCAAATGATCAAGGGAAAACCACTTTAATGTTTAGAAAAAATTAATCAATGATGGCTCCGTACTGAGTTCTAGGGCAAATGAAGATATTTGGGGAAGTTGTCTTAACTTTATACATTTGATCGTAAGGACAATGTGCTTTTCTACATCATCTCTGAAGCAACATTGGAAACACATGGAATCAAACAAGTTTGACACAAGACATAAGACCTTGAAAAATGCCAACAGCATGCTAAAGTTTCAATTAAGAGCAAAGTGCACTTTCTTTTTTTTAAAAGAAAGTAATGCATAGCCAATAACCATGAGTTGATTCCATCTTCTGATTTAACAACTGATAAATTAACAGCTAATAAATGACTAAGTTCTAACAATAGTTTAATTGTATTCTTAACTTTATTATCCATGAATAAAAATTAGTGATGCGGTTTAAATGTAATATTTACTACGACTTAATGAGAAGCTTCTATAAACATAAAGTTATTCCTTAATTGACAGACTGTGGAGCTCCAAAATTTGATTCTATTTTCCTATCTATGGTTAATTGAGCTACGGAGAATTCTTCATTGCTTTAAGTTACTGCCATCAACCTAAATTTAAGCTCACAATATAATCTCATTAAGTATAAATTGTAACATATTACCTCAGCAAACTGAAATAATGGTGATTTCTGACGCAATTCAGGGGATTCTGAAACATCCTGCCTACAACTGCCAGAGGATATCTGAAACAAAGAAAAGATGGTGTGAGGCATCACAGGAATAGTTTCTGGAAGACAAGAGATGACAAGTGCCACCTATATCATTCCTATTTGAGGAAAGAAGTTTTCATTCCCCTAATTTGAGGCGAACAATGACAAAAAAGTAGTTCTAGTCTGCAAAGTTTTATACAAGGTGCCATCCAACAGCTAAATGCAGTAAAACAGGAGATGGATAAGACAATGCATTTTAGAAAAGTTCATATTCATCAAAGAGAATTTCTCCAATGATGTCCATTTCATCTTTTGGCTTTCTGCCACCAACTCCAAAAGAACTCTTCTTCTTTCATGTTGTTTGTTTCCCCAATATTTTATATCACCTAACTGCATGAAAATGCAAATGAGATTTGATGATATAAACCTTCTGGGAAAGCAAAACTAAAGTCAAATTGTTTTCTAGGTGTTCGTGTGTCTATACACAAATGTTAATCACAGAAAAGTTACTACTTACCTAAGAGTAATTTCTTTTAAAACATGTTTTCTTTTGCACTACTCACTACATACACATTTAATGTTCTGCAATCTTCACTTGCCATCTTTATTATTAATAAGTTATAGAAATACCACTGGATTAAAAAATTTTTTTTTGCTATTTATTCAGTACTCTTGTCCAGACACATACTTCCTCTTTTATCGCATTGCTAAAAAGGACCTATTTCTGTATTTGGGTGATATAATTGCTTAGGGAGCCAAGTGTAATTCAAAAGTCAGGAAAGTCACAGAATGTTGAGAGAAGGATATTGTTATTCTTCTGATCTGACCCTTTTTACAGATTAAGAAACTTAGGACCAGAAAAATAAAAGACACCTCCCCTCCGCAACATTCAGTAGTCCCTTTATTCTCTATCTTTAGCACTTACCACAAGACATAAATATTTGTTTATTGTCCATCTTCTCCTGGGGCCCTAGTTTAATAAAGAATCCTCAACACTGCCTGCTCACAATATCAACAAGTATTTTTTGAATAAATTAAATAAAAGTTGACACGTCTTCTAAATGCTAAATCAGTGTACCCTGTCCCCCTTTTCGAAATGACAATGTTAGGAAGCCTTAGGGGAAAAGTTTCTTTCACTATAGAGGCAAAACAAGTTAAAAATAGGTTTTTAATAACATGTTGCGGACAGTAAAATAATCCAAGTTCATTGTTGCAAATCTGAAAAAAAAAATACAGAAGAAAAATCATCTGCAATGCTATCTACAAAAGATAAGCACTATTAATACTCATATATATTCTTCTAATTGTATAAGATAATTTTTCAACTAAAATGAGGTACTGTAATACAGTTAAAGAATGCTCTTTTTTAAACAATACATTATTTTTCCTGTGTTATCAAACCTTTTCCAATGTATTTTAATAGTGGCATGTGATTATGTTAGGTGGTTGAATCCTGTGGAAACACCTGACAGTCACCCAGATTTCGTTTCTAAAAATGGAGTCTCTCAATGAAGCTCTTCATTAGACACTGAAGATGTGTTTCTCGAATAGTGTCACAGGTCACCGGGCAGGAACCAGCATTTGAAATTTTATTTGTCACCTTTGGATTTGAAAGAGTAATGGTCACCTTCTTCTAATGATATTAAACTCCAGAGAAGAGTGCAGAACCTTTTGTTAATTTTCCACCTGTGGTCCGGATGCCAAAGCCTGGTTCTCTCACTGCCACTTGACTATTTGACAAATTGTATGCCAAATGGCCCAGTCCTACTCCCCAAGAATTTGAAGTCAAGGAGACAAAAAAATGCATCAAAAAGAAAGCCAATGAATCCCAAAATTACTGGCCACAAAGAATTTCTTCATTGAAAAGAATACTTGGACAAAAAATAGTTTTATTTAGGAATGATGAAAAAAATCAATACTCTCTTGGTTTATAAAGAAATCCTTTAAGTCTAGCTCCTAGATATCTTGGTAAATAATCAAAATTTTATTTAAAATCAACCCTAGGACTAAATTAAGATTATAAAGAGTCTTAAAATTTAATAATATAGGTTACACAGGTGACAGAATTTTCGAAAGATATTTGGAATCTAATAGATTTAGGGTAGCTACACTGCATGCAGGTACCATTCGTGAGGAGATTAGATACCCTGTGGCTTAGAGATCATATGAACTGTAAAAAGAAAAGTCAACTTTCTCTTCAAGTTCTGTTTATAAATTATCTGGCCATAATTACATAAGTCACAAAGTTTTAAAGTTAAGTGAGAACCTCTGCAAATCATTATTATGGACAGTCTTAAACAAATTTGAATAGAGAATTCAAATGTAAATAATTATCAAGGCACTGTAATCCTGAATGTTGTATCAATTGTGCTATGCTATCAAAGAAGTCTACAGATGCAAGTTTGTGCCCACCATGTACCTGATGCATACTAAATGTACAACGAATACTCTGACTTAATTCTGTGCGTGTATGGATACAAAGAACTCAGTGACCTGGCCAGGAATCACACAACAAAGACTGACCAATGGTTAAAATAGTAGTAACAGAATCTCTAAGGCTATGCAACTTACTCTAGTGGACAATATCTCAAAATCTAGTTACTCTTAATTTTACTCACGAGTTTAAGGCGTTAGTTACTCTTGACTTTAAAGCACTGTGGATTTAGTATATATTTTCAGGCTAGTGTAAGGGCACAAAAGTAGAAGCCAGGAGAATTGAGTTACTAGTAAGCTATGTGGTTAGTTGCCTCTCTAGTCCACAGCAGAATTAGAAGACACAATTCAGAAGGGGACAGGAGTAGGAGAAATAGAAATAGAATTGCAAAAGAAGGAGAGTTGCAAAAGAAACAATACCAGTAGCAAAGAGACACAAGGAGAAGACAGAAAAAACTGTAAAGAATAGACACAAATGTTTTGTAAAGCACTGTAGTCTATCTAAAAGAAATTAGAGCAAAGAGTTTCTAAGTGTCTCCTGAAGGCTTCAGTTCACTGCAGCAATTAATATTTATTAACTATGGTTCTAAGTTGTCAAGATAAGGATAATTATAAAACATAGCCTTTATTAAAAGGCAGAAATGTGTGTGATACATGCTAGGCATATTTCCATCAAAAATTTCAAAATACAAATATGGTACAATGACACGGAAAATGTATGTGGGTAGAATTTATTCTTGTGTGCTTGATAAATACGGCATCCAATGCAAGAGTGTATATTTGTGCATATACTGATTAATATACACATCTGGCAAAGAAATCTGGGAAATATCCACATAACAGAAAGAGAGTACTTTGCACAAAAGGCTCCTATTTAAGTATCAGAGGGTCCTGGGCCTAATTGCCTTGCTATTTGTATTTACAGTACTCTACTTATGACATGGGACATGCTTTTTATGGACAAACATGAATTCCTCTATCTCCATTCCTATGCTAGAATCAGCTTACCTTCTAAAAATAGCAGAATAAAAGAGAGTTAAAAATATCTTTTCACCAATTAAAAGGAAATAAAAGATACCAAATAAGCAGAGGTTAAATAAAGGGAGAAAAAAATACCCAAAAAGTTGTTCCTAGAGTCTCTGAAATAATCCACAAAGCCACTAGGTGTAGCTATCTGCCCAAGAAAGAAACAGCTAATGGGATTTTTAAAAGCAAAATTTTGTTAACTTCTCTTAAATTCAATCTTCTCTATGATTTAGCTATAATTCTAAATAACTAAGGGGAATTATTACCAAATGAAGAATTACAACAAAGTAGTATCTTCTTCCATAAGTATACTTCATAGTGTGAAACCAGTAGATACAGAAATGTGATCCAGCCTCCCGATATAAAACAAGATCACACCAGTTAGATGCATTGTAAGTGCTTTGGAAAGCTAGATATTAGCAAGAGCCTGTTCCCACTTCACAAGGCACAAGACCACAGCTACACACAGTGGGATTCTGATGCACACATATGGTCAACAAAAGGGGTAAGTGCACCGGTTCTATTTGAACCATACATTTCTTCCCTTGCTAATCCAAACATTTGTTGATAGTCACTCCTTCAACAAATACACAATAAAAACCTACGATGTGCCAGCCACAAAGACTGCTGACTGCTTTTAAGAAGCTTACATTCCACTAGTACACATTACATGATAGGGAATAAAATGGTAACTAAGGGAATGTGGCTTGTGATCCAAGTACAGGCAGGAGCTACACAGTTAAGAGGTATGTGCACACTGGTGAACTGCCACAGAGAAGCAGCCTTCACTCCTTCTAGGACAGGGAGAAGTCAAGATAGTAATGTCTGAGATATCCCAAGAAGAAGCACCAGAATTGCGGAAATGATGTGACAACAGCAGAAGGAAAAGTATGGAGGCAGTTGCCCTGTGTGTTTGCGAAACAATGACTTTCTCAGTATGGATGAAGAGTAGAAGCCTGGGAGTGTAGTGGGAGATGAATCGAACTGAGAGAAATTTGAATTCCATGTTACAAAGTTTGAAAATTAGGCTGAAGGCATTGGGGAACCAGCCAAAGTTTTCACTCAGTGGAGCAGCATGATGAGAGATACATAGTTAGATAATTCTGTCAGTGGAGTGCAGGATGACCTTGGCTGGGAAGCGACTGGAGGCAGGAGACCAATTAGAAGGTTAAAAAAATAAACTAGCTGAGATGTGGGGTTCCAATTAAATCAGAGATGGTATTTGCCAGGCCCCAGTAATTGCCTGGAAAGATGTCAGGGCTGAGGGAAAGGGGTCGGACAAAGCCTTTCACTGAAAGAGGGAATTTGAAGAAAGGTTTGGGGGTGGGGTGTAGGGGGTTGTCTTCTACGGGAGAGGGTTTGGGAGTAGAGGATTCCATTTCAGAGTTTCAGTAAAAGATCCCTTGTGATGCCAAGGGCCAGTGATCTGATTCTCGCCCTCATTCAGCATGACCCAGTCTTTCCTACAATTGGAGGCTTTCTTTGGCCAAGTATTCTATAACAGAGTACCTGAGTGATCATTTAATTTGCATTTAATATGAGATGTTAAATGAACCTCTGAAATGGACTTGAGC